CTTTACCACCTTTATGCTTTGCCATATAGTCGAATGCCATCATAGAGTTGCGAATTAGTGCCTTAACATTAAGATCAATCGTTTTCTCCCAATAGTTATCGTTAAATATAGCGGCATTGTTGATAAGAATATCAAGTCCTTTGAATGTATCAACAATCTTCTTGAACGTCTTCTCTAAATCATCAGCCTTTGTTAGATCGCAGGCTACGAAAACGGCACGGCCCTTTCCAAATTCGTTCTCCAAAGTAGCCGCCGCATTCTGGCCGTTTGATGTTGATAGATCGATCATAGCAATGCTTTTTGCACCATTGCGAAGTAGTATTTCGACGAACTTATATCCTAATCCGCCAGCTGCTCCAGTGATCATTACAGTTTTATCACGTACGTCATACATTATACTGATTTCTTGAAAATTTCGATAACTTGAGATATTGTAGCAAGGTGTGAGATTTTTTTGCGAATCGCAATACACTGTGTATATATATAAAATCTATCTATTTTAATACTTCTTGTGATGACACTCGATGATTCGTTAGCAAATCTGTTCCTGGTAAAAAAGTTTTTATGTATAAATATGTATAAATACGTGTAAACATACATAAATGTGCATAAAAATTTATATACATATAATAATATATGAATATAATATAATAATATAATAAATATTCATATATAATTATATGTGAATATATAATTATATATAAATTATATCTGGATAATTATATATAAAATATGTCCATACATCGCAATAATGAATAAGTCAAAGCTTTTTTAAACGAGCAGTTATAATTATTCATAAAATAAAAATCGTTTTTTAATGAAATAAGTATAATAATATGAAGTTTTTCAAACAGTTTGACTTACAAAGTCTTTCTCAGTGAAATACATAACAACATTTTTATATAATCCCTTACAAAGTCAACGAACTTGCAATAATAAAAATTATCGCTCCAGGCTAATCTTACATACTTATGTCTTCATTTAGATGTTACGAATCGAAATAGATAATTAATCAGATGTTTGAAGTCCAAATAATAAAAGTGTGTTTTACTAATCCTTGGTTGTTATCAAGAATCCAGCTCAGTCAATGATTTCATAAAAAATGTGCGACAGTCCGATCGATTGTTTCTTCAATGACTGTCCTAATACATTCTGTATAATAAATGTCAATTTATAATTAAATGATTAGTATAAGTTATTTTAATTGAATATTTAATTGAATAATAATGAGAAATTATGTTCAAACTTACGTGTTAATTTATATAGAATAGTCTATTGAATTAAACTTAAAGTAAGAAAACTGAATCTTAAAACAGCTTTTGCTTGTCATACATTTAAAAATGAACTGATATTATAGGTCAGAGAATATATATCGTTAAGTCATGATATAAACAAGTCTGTTCGAAAATGTTACAATTTTAGTTAGCATATGTTGTCAAGTATGTTAAAATAAGATCGATTCAACAACTCAAAGGATTCATCTGTGGAGGATTCTTTTGTGTGAATTATTTCCGAAAGGATTTTTTTTTTCGGAGTCTCGTGATCTAAAATTTCGACGTTTTCCTAGTCAAAACTGTGATTGGAATCAATTATATGTTTCGTGACCATTTAATGTTTGGATTGATCTAATTTTATATTGTTACGATGTTCTTTAATTCTAGTTCGAAACTGTCTTTTCGTTTGTCCGACAAGATGTCATTACAATTGATTTTATAAATTACATTATTATTTTTTTGATATTGATTTTTATCTTTTTGTGTCTTTAGAAACCTATTCAATTTGTTGAGACAACAATATCCTATCATAGTTTTAGATTTATTTATTAAATTAGTAATCTTATTCGTAATTGATCTAACGTACGGAAGTAAGATCTAAAATGGTAACAGAGTAATAAATTCAAATATTGAAAATGGTAAGACAATAAGGAACATGATTGTATTTCATACGTTACATCAATTACTAATTTCTACCATTCAACAATTCGAACTTTTGTATAACCTTTCGTTAATAGTGGTAAAGATTATATTTAATAGGTAACCATATAATGCGACTATATCACAAGTCACAGCTACATGTCGCTTCGATTTTATAATTGTTGCAAGTTTTAAGTGTATATTATCATATTCTTAATTATATAATAATTGAATGATATTGAGAAGAATCCGCAGTAAGATCGAAACGTCTATTGTACATTATGTATTAATTAAATAAATTCACATGGGCAGTGTTCGGCTCTCGCATTATCATTCTCCGATTTATTTTACAAATATTGTGTGCTGTTTATGGGTATGATGTGTATATGTTAGCGAGACATTTTATTAAAAATATTTTTATTAAATTTTTTTCTTATTATATATTTAATCAATTTTTTTATTATTAAGTTAAATAATTCGGTTCACTTGTTAAGCGGAGAAATGGTGTTTCAACTAAAAATTCGTTTCATGAAGAACATTCACTGATAGTCTTTTTGTAATCGTTGAAGACATTCATGCTGACTGATATTCATTTCGTTTTCCATGACATACAAGATCTGTTTTCTGTGGCTAAATTAGTGTACTTTTGGAACTTAAAATGAGATAGGGAAGCGAAGAAAAAAGATTCTAGAGCAGTCTAATGCAGGAACAGAAAATAGATCAACAATCTTTACCGTACATGATAATCATCCTACGATGAATGTTGATTGGCATAATGTCTTCAGCGGTTAGAAAATATATATCATATCGCACGTTGATGAAACTCATTCATGATAAAATTTGTTAATAAAATTCATTGATCAAATTCATTTATGAAACGAATTTTCCAGTCGGAACACCATCATGTTTAATGAGTAACTGGATGGCAATGTAAAACAATTAATTGTGCTCGTTATCAACGTCTTTTATCTAAGGGCACATGATATCACATAACAGCATATGAAATATAAAATATGCGTAACAAGCTTTGATACCCTGTCAGAAGTAATTGTCACAACGCCATTGTTATCTTTGCATTTGATTAAATTATACATTCTTATTAATTTGTTTCTTATTTTTTTTAAATAAGAAAAATATATATATATAGCGAATGCAAAATATATTTGTATATACGGAGAAAAATTTTTTAAAAAATTTTATTTTTAAAAAGTAAATATTATCCAGCGAAAAATGAGTCATCGAATTGATATTGAATCGATATCAATATGATGATTTCAATACTAATTTGACGTTGATTCGACGTTTAATTGACGATCATTTCTTGCTGGGTAATTAACAATTTATTCATAAAGATTAAAATAGATTAGTATGTTTCTTAAAATCATATATATCAAAAAGATGTGCATTAATTATAGAAAATATATCATCTGAAAAATAAAATTAAAAATTGTATTGTTTGGATGCTCAAAAAGTATTCGTGCAATCAAGAAATTTAATTTTTAAAGTCAGGAATACATGCGAAACTCGTTTGTTTATGTTAGAACAAAATGTATTTATTGTATAAAATTGCTAATTAATGTTTATTCTCTACAAATAAGACTTTTTTATAAAAAATTTGCTTGTACGAATATTTGCATTTATTGCATATATAATATGTTATGAAACATAATCTTATGCCACTAAAAAGCTACTATAATAGAATGCTGAAAGATTGCGCAGTAATGACAAGAACTTATAGGCCGTAATTCATAGTCAAATTTTATATTCAAGACCGTCTTATAAGCCTATTCTTTAATATGCTCCTCGTTTCCTGTTTCTTGCTTTTTATTACTTGTTTTTTCTCCCTTTGCAATCGTTTTATTGACAATTGCATTTTTTGCTACTTGTGTTTCTTCCAAAATTAATTGTCTTTTATCTCGGGCGACATAAAACAAAAAACTGGATAAGAAGCAAAAAGATGTAAAAATAGCAAAAAGCAGAAAACAGGAAACGAAAAGCACATTGTAGAATAAGTCTTTAAGTATAGTCTTAATTAAGAAGTCACGAACTAATCAGAGGATCATATTAGCGTCTTAAGACATTACTTAAGACAGTCTTGAAATAAGAACGGATTATGAATTTGTCTATAATTTGAATATTTAGAATATATATATATAATCAATTAGAACAAAAAGAAGAAAGAAAGAAGATCGAAAGAAGTTTTATTACAGTCAGAACAGGCCTGTCTAAAACTCGACGTAAGCCGAAATGCTTCCACCTTTCTGCTGTCTCGGTAGCGAAATAAAGCATAAATAACAAAGAATAGACGCCAGCATTCCATCTGAATCAGGTCTGTCCAACGTTGAAATATACGACGTTGCAACACGTTGTATCAATAGTGCTGGAAACTTCTGTATTTATGTCTTTTATAATAAGAAACAAGGATGCCTGAAGGAAATCGGTATCATTATGAGGATCACAGACAAAGAATATTAAAAAGAAAACGGTTACTATGATTATAAATTAAAAGACAGATTCCCTTGGTTCCTTTATTCTACGATGCTTAGGCAGATCTGACTTCAGGTATATATTCTTTGTTATTTACATTCTTTCTCATTGTACTAAAATGATGGAGAAAGATCAGGAAAGGTTTCGATTTACGAAGGTTCGAGTTTTGGACAGGCCTGAACAAAAATATCATAAAGTCAAATTTTAATTTGTTAGATATATTAATTGTAATTGAATTTCCGGCATAATATTTTTAAAATACAGCTACATATTTTTCTTAATTATTGGACAATTTTTTCCAAATTTAATTTGATAAATACGTCGCTATGATTCGTTATATTGTTATTGTTTTGCTGAAACACTATGTCGAAATTAATTGTGTAATTATCAATATTTTAGAAAAGATCAGAGTATCTACATCCTTTTTTATAAAAATACTCGTACGTTCTTTTTATAAATATATTCGTATAATTGCTGATTACACATTTTATCAAGATTTCGTCATATAATTTTATAAATGTTGTATCGGGACAACGTTTATGAAATTTATAAGAATCATTAGTTATGTACTCTTGAAATTAAAATAATATAGGAAATTAGGCAAATGAGAGTTCAGTGTGGTACTTAATCATTGTGTATAATTATTCATTCTGTGTATATCTAAATTATATTTTTGACTTGCTGCGCTTGCGCACGCACACACGCACACACACACACACACACACACACACACACACACACAAAATTTCAAGAAAAGGTAAAAATTTTCTCTTGCCATTATTTCTGAAAAGCTTCGAGAAAATATTTGACCAAGAAGTCTCCCACCATTGCTTCAAAGACCAATCACAATCGAATTGAACGATCGTTGAAGATATAAAAGATCGCTTAACAACACCAACGCGTTACTTTTGATCCATACATCCTGAGATAGAGTCCTAGATTCTGAAGCATCGTTCATAGTAAATTTTGGAAGTCCAAAGAATATACAAGATGGTTAATTATCTAGACGACAAGGATGCCCTTTATAATGATATAATATTCTTGCTAATGAAAGAAGAGTGTCAACGTCGACTTTCGTCATTTATTAAAAATGGATACTTTCTATCTGAGAGCTTTAAAAAAAATAGAGAAGCAAAAAGTACACCGAACGACGTAGTGGATTTCGACGTGATGGCAGACCGTAAAAGACGCATAGAATTTACAATGCGTACAGCAAAGAAAATTGAAGAAATTACAATGAATGATAACGTATAATGTAATGTGTGTGTGTGTGTGTGTGTGTGTGTGTGTGTGTGTGTGTGTGTGTATGTGTGTGCGGAGAGGACGATGCTTCAACAGATTAACAGTTTATTTGTAATTATTTTGAAGATTGTATATTTTTTTATTTGTGTGATAGTTATATTAAGATATGTAAATTTGGAAAGAATAAAACGATCCTTTTATTCATCAGAACCATTTATTTATACGAGAAATATTTATTATGTATTATATTATATATATATATATATATATATATATACGTATATATAAAACATTTATATTCCAAATGTAAAAAAATATATTTGACATTTAATCATGTAGAAAGCTATATCTCTTTTTCTTATAAAATTTATCATTCTAAATACTAAAATAAGTATTCACATCAAAGCGTGTATATATAAAATCGAGCTATTTGTTGATTTGTATAGATGTATATATTATTTTTCATATTGTGCATCTTGCGATAAAAATATTACGGAAATTGTACCGTGACAGGAAGTAACGACGATTCTATGCGATACTCGAAAATTGGAGGCTATCGCGTGACTTTTATTCGGAAGATTTTCTTCTCATGCAACATTATTCCGTAAAAATCGGGATAATATACCGAGCGGGGTAATCTTTGAAGCATCATATTCTTCCTTACTGCAATCATTTCTGCATGAA